TTAGAGACCAAACAGGTTTTGGGGGGTAATGCATTTTAGTCAGTAGCGACAATTACATGTGACCAGCCCACACTCAAGGTGGACCTGCACAACTGCCAACCCATAAAATGAGTGCCTTGAAACGGCATAGCCAGTGGGGGTGATTGCAGATAAATAGTGCACCTTGTATCCATTATCCATGAAAATGAATCGCATATATTACTTTCACAGCCTCTTCGATATGTCTCTTCATTTAAAGATTTTGTTGGGCATGGGGTAATTTTTTAATGAATTTTTTTATTTTCTAATAAATATTTTTATTTTTATATTGAAGAAAATGCTGTAAAAAATCAACCAATGTTTATTGATTCTTGATGTTTCTTGCAAGAAATTATTTGTTTAATCTTTACCATGTGACTAGCAAATAACAAAATACAATATGTAGTGAGTATATTTAGGGAAAAAAAGCTCAATCTTTTTCCTACAAAAATGAGGGTTGGTGTGATTGAATCATTAAGTACCTAAAGCAAAATCTTTGTCGCCATATTTATGAAGTTTCGGCCTTCTTCAGGTGGTTGAAATTTTGAACTGAACCCTTTATTTCGCTCACTGGGGTAGACTGTTCTAGTTCCACGTGCCATGTTTAATGGATGTCGGTTATCTCCTGTTAATTCCCTTCTGCAAGTTCTCCACTGCCTTAACCGGGTATTGAACTCCCACTCTTTGGCCAAAGACACATGGCACAGTGGATAAAGGCATTGGTTAGATCCAGTGACAGGACCCAAAGAGTTTGAGTTCAATACCTGGTTAAGGCAGTGGAGAACTTGCAGAGGGAAATTAACAGGAGATAACTGATAACTGACATCCAGTAAAACATGGCACATGGAACTAGAACTGTCTACCCCAGTGAGCGAAATAAAGGGTTCAGTTCGACATTCCAGCCACCTGAAGAAGGCTGGAGCGTACAACAGCCGAAACGTTGTAATAAATATGGTGACAAAGATGAGGACAATAGTCTGAATAATGTACATAGTGTACAGAATACCTCATCTCAGAAATATAGACGGATACTAAAGCAAAATGTTTCAAAGTTTTTCACATTTGGCAATGAGGCGCAAGAATATTTGGCAGAAAATATTTCAGTTCCACTCTTTCATGCCTGTTAGATGTGTTTTGTTTGTTTCCCCTGCCCCCATGTTACTGATAAATCTGTAATGCGAGGGTAATAGTCTTGTTGACCCTGCTCCTTCTCTTGTCCAGGTCTTTATTTTACCTAACAATTTGGTATTAAAAACTCAACATGAACATTTGATGAGAATCCAGTGAAATAAGAAATATACAACTAAAAAGTGTTCATATGCTTAACATGAATCTAGTTTTATTTGACTGATGTAGACTTGTTCTTGTGAAGTTATTTCACATAAGGGTTGGAAACATTGGGGAAATAAACTGATCTCATTTATTTTATTTTTTTTTTTTTTTTTTTTTATTTAATTCTGCCATTGATTGAAGACAGTTACAAGTTGAAGTTCACAGGTCTCTTTCACTGCAAAGATAGTGAGATTTTTTTTGTTTTTTGCTTCTACTATAGTGAAAATAGTTAAGAAAAATGTAGACACTGAATTAAATGTTAACAAGTCCGGGGTAGTGTTACTAGTGACCCATGTAAGTTTCGTTGTACAAGGAAGAGGAAAAAAAAGTATTGATATTTCAGGAGTTTTTTTTTTTAAGCAGATAATCACTGCATTTATTTTAATTCTTCTGGTCTCTTTCCTCCAAGTGGTTGGAAGTCAACAAACAATGGTAGCTGACTGTTGCTTTCAAACACAACTACAGGTCATTTTTATCTGGCTGTCCAAATGGGTATTACAGTTATTTTAATACCATGCTTAATAGTCTGATGGTCAGCCACTGTCTTAATGATTTCTACTAATTACTACTACTTTCTCTCATCTACCTTTCTTTAAATGTTTTACTCTGTTAGTAGGCACCCATAAAATTCACTTAAAAAAAACAAAAAACATACTTTTTCAAGGCTCTGAAGAATTAAGGCACAAGTCTTCATACTATTTACATTATTCGGACTATTGTCCTCATCTTTGTCGCCATATTTATTTCAACCTTTCGTCCTTTCAGTATCTGTCTATATTTCTGAGATGAGGTATTGTGTACACTATTTACATTATTCGGACTATTGTCCTCATCTTTGTCGCCATATTTATTACAACATTTCGGCTGTTGTACGCTCCGGCCATAACCGGGTATTGAACTCGCACTCTTTGGCCAAAGACACATGGCACAGTGGATAAAGGTGATGGTTAGATCCAGTTACAGGACCCAAAGAATATGAGTTCAATACCCGGTTAAGGCAGTGGAGAACTTGCAGAGGGGAATTAACAGGAGATAACTGATAACTAACATCCATTAGACATGGCACGTGGAACTAGAACTGTCTACCCCAGTGAGTGAAATAAAGGGTTCAGTTCGACAGTTCAAGCACCTGAAGAAGGCCGGAGTGTACAACAGCCAAATTGTAATAAATATGGTGACAAAGATGAGCACAATAGTTCAAATAATGTAAATAGTGTACATAATACCTCATCTCGGAAATATAGACAGATACTGCCAAGTTTTTATATTGCTAAAAGTTTTGGCACAACGTTCCTGGAGAAGACTTATTTCTCTTTTAGCAGAGAACCCGACAGATACTGAATACATTCTATGAATAATCTCCATATTGTTAGGTGTAAGTTGAAGATATCCTTTTATGTAGCCTTTGATATTTTTTCTTTCTTCTTCCTACTTGTCTGTCAAAGCTGCAAAACTCCTTCCTTTACAAATTGAGTGAATTATCAGAAATCGTCAAAATCTGGAAGTGGTCAAGCCATTTCTTATCTAGCCAACACTTCCAGAGAACAAGTGGTCAGTGTCACCTTTTTAATAAAAAAAAAAAATATACTGACTTCTCAAACAGTCTTCTCTTCTGCCATACTGAGATGTTGCAGCATGTGATTTTATATATATATATATATATATATATATATATATATATATAATTTTGAAAAATTCGGGCATCCTGGGTAAGATGATAAACTACATTCAACAGTAAGGCCTCTGATCAGGAGGTTTTGAGGAGCGTGGAACCACCTCTTAATTACTGCTGTTTGCAGGTCAACCCTAACTTGGGATGGTACCACCTGTCAGCAAACATCCCCACCCCAAAAATGGTCAAAACACTATGAAAATGTAAAAATAGGTTTTAATACCTGCAGTACATTTTTGAAAAAAAAATTATTACCAGCAATAATAATCTTGTCGGCATTAAATAACCCATTGAGGTTGGTATGCTGTAAAACAAACCAAACCAAAAATGCAGCTAAGAGCCTACCATAATGAGAAAGGCCTCAAATATGATAAAAATAGTTTTGTCAAAATATTTATTATGAGGAAAGACCAAAGGATTTTTTGATTAAATTTTTTTTTTTAATCCTTTTTAGCATGTTTGAAATTTTGGTTAAAAATTGTTTTTCTTGTGTCGTGTGTGTGTGGGGGGGGGGTGTTGGTAAAGATTAGTATTAGGAAATTTTTTTTTTTTTTTTTTTTTTTTTTAAAAAAAAAAACATTGTTTTTAAAATTCTTGCAAAAATCAAATTGTCAGGAAATTAAAATTCCACCTCTTCAAGCTTAAAAGTAGGACTCCTTAGAGAATTTAAATCAATTGTTTTTGACAAACCCCATTTACTGAAAATCTGTTCTAAATTGTAAAATAAAAAAATGGAGTAAAACTTACCTTATTTAATTAGAAAACGTTTTAATTGCTTTCATAAATAAGATATATTAAGATGTCTTAAAAAAAAAAAAACAACAATCGTGAAGGTATCTAAAATTATCTAATCCATTAGATTATGGTGAATATTTTAAATTTTTAACATTACTGAGTACTTAAAAATTATGCCTCTCTCTCTCGTATATTATTATAATGGGTACTTCCTATTTGAAATAGATATCCCATTTTTATTAAACAGTGTGTTTTTTATATATATATATAGCTTGAGCATTCAAGTAATCTTACTAAACAAAAATGCATTCCATTTCAGGCAAGGTGTTCTTTGTGGTAAAGCACACAGTGGTTTTCCCTAGGGGAGGCAAAGGGTGCAAGTTCAATCCCTGCCAGGAAATACATTTTTCTCTATTTCTGATATACACAGGCTGTTTAACAAATAAAAATGTGGTGTCTGTTTTATATATGGAATATCTGCTATGATAACGTTTGATTTAATGAAAACGTCGGATTAAAAATAAATCTATTAATGAGGTGTATTTAGGCAGAAAAAATTCATCTTAACAAATTTTGTTAAATTCAACTGATAAGATCCATTTTAATTTTTTTTAAATTTATTTTTTCAGATATGTGGATAAACTGTTCAGTTCATGTTTTGTTCTTGTTAAAGCATTTTGAGATTCTAAGTCACTATCAAGAACTTGGTGTTGTCAGTGTGGTAGACAAGATTTTGTTGGCTATGTCTTTCTCTTAATATGAGAAAAACATGTATATATGTATTTCGTATGACATTAAATATTTTATACCAATTTTAAAATACAATCTCCTAGTGAAATATTTAGTATAGGTTGTTTCTTCTCTATAATAATAGCTTATAGAATTTTAAGTCCCCCGCCTTTTTTTTTTTTTTTTTTAACATCAAATTTCATTTGCTTATGAACATGTCTACCCACACTGCATATTATATAAAATGAAAATTGCTGGCTAAATTGACATTTTATTTGATTAATAAATTTTTACCAATGTTTTTACATTTATTCATGTACAGTAAAATCTTTATTTCCATAAATGTAACTTAGTTTACATTTTGAAACTAGTTTAAAGTTGATTTAATATTTCTTATTGAAAGATTACACATTGAGAAAAAAACAAATGTTGACTTTGAAGCCGTTTTTATTTAACACAACGTTGAGATATTTTGCTCATACACGGATTATTCAAAATGACTTTTTTCTTTCAGTTTCTAGCGAGAACTTTATTTCTGCCATCCGCAACCATAAGAGTTTGGAATTTCTCTGTCTGAAGGGGAATCGCCTGGGTAAGTCGATTGTCATAATTATTGGATTTTTCTATCTCTGAGGGTTTTTTTTTTTTTTTTTTGTAGGGGTGGTGGTGAAAATTGTTTTTTGTAACCTTGTTATATTTGTATATGAAGAATTTTTTATTTTCTTTTTACATATATACCTGATTGACTCTCTTGACTATATATATATATATATATATATATATATATATATATATATATATATATATAAATTTTTAGGAGATAAAGAGTTAATTCTTTTGAGCAACCGGATATTGATAAAACTGGCCTTTTTAGATTAAATCCTTAAAAAAAAAAAAAAAAAATGAATTTTTATGTTCACTCATTGAAATGGTTTTGAAAAAAAATGTCTTGTTAATTTTCTGTAATTTTTAACTTTAAATCATTTAAAAAATAATTTAATGTTATAAATTAGCCAAATCATTCAATTTAATAATTTAAAATTTTTTCTTTGTATAAATTTTTAATATTGACTAATAATTGCTTTTTCAGTAGCCAAGCAATTTCATGATGACCAAATCAATTTAACTTTCTTTTTTTTTTTTTTTTTTTTTTTTTTTTTTACAAGAAAAAAAATGATAAACTCGGGCTATAAATGTAAGACACCCAGTGAGGATCCTGCTAACCATTGTTCCATCCTATGTATAACCCCTGCCCCACAATGTTTTCTTTATTTAAAGAATAATATATTGATTATAATAGAATGAAAAATTTACTTTTCTTTTGGCTTCCTTTGTGGTTAATATTTTTAAAGATGAAAATCAACCAGATATCAAATGTTGGGGTGAGAAATTTTCTAAACCATTGTAATGTCTCCTCAGAATAATCTAATCTAAATGGTCATTTTGTGTGTGTCTCTTTCTCTCTCTCAAGCTTTTGTCTTCACTTTTTCTCTCTCCTTTCCAACCATCTGCATTTGTTTTAAGTGATTTTTGGCCAATTTTCTGTTAATTATTGATCATGTGGGGAATTTTTTATTTTCATATTTTTTTTTTTTTTTAAATTGCCATCTTAGCAAAAAAAAAAAAAAAATGATTTAAGTGGTAATTTCCTCAAACAGAATTTTCTCCTGATAACAAATGTGTGCATTTCCTGAGTTTATTCAGGAATTGTTGTCTTTGAGGATCTGTGTGCCTGGCTGTTATGTCTTGTGTACATCTACAGATGTCGGAAGTGAATATTTCAGTGTATGTGTACGTGTATTTTTATCCAAGATTGATAATTGATAAATATTTGAGTAAAACTGGCATTTTGAAGTTGGCTGAACTTTTTTTCTTCTTCAATTTTTGGCTTGGGATAATATTTATGGCACTAATCATGGAGATCTTCAAGGATTGGGAGTCTTCATCTTCATACTAAAATTTTTATCAAAATAGAATGGACAAAATGAGCCAAGCTCAAATATTGATTCTTCCAAACATAATTTTTGGTGTGTATTAAGACTTTATGCACACTGAAACTGCAGAAGTGGATTCGATGAAATTTTGCAGGCTTAAGTAATGTGATCCTGTGAATGTCATAGGCTATATTAAGATACCAAGATTACTTTTTCTTTTCTTTTTTTTTTTTTTTATACAAGTTACATTCTTATATTTGCTCTGGTTTCAGATTTGCATGTGATATCTTGTTTATATTGTAAATAATAACTCCTGCTGAGAGGAAAAGAGACTATTAATAATTTTACATGGGGTCAGATTTCTTTTAGTTTTCTTTATTTTAAGTGAGCTAGTTGATTAAATACACATCTGCTTATCTTAATGTTGGGCATTTGAATCTTCACATGACTCTCCACTTTACTAACCCACCAAAAAAGTTTTTCTTTTTTTTTCTTTTTTTTTTTTTTTTTTTAAATCCATTTGATTCTAGATTTTCCTCTGACCTATATATTAATATTTTTCTGTGTTATTTCTCCATTGTGAAATTTAATCAAGTTTTCTTTTTCTTTCTTACACTAATGTATAAAAATACATATTGATTTATTTTAAGATATCTTTTATTTTCTACTGGAGTGTTGCCTATTTGTATGTATTAATATTGTAGACAATGAGGTATTGTGAAACATTAAGGAATATCTTCAGTTGGGTCTGCATATAATGAGATGGGCCAAATTGTAACCCTTTCATATTAAATGTGAGTGTGGGTCATAGAAAGATGATGGCTGAACCTTTTTTCTCATTAAAGATAATACAGGATGAATAATACAAAACAAAAATAACTTTTACAAACACATGAGTATCTTGGAGTAGTAAAGTTTGTATCATTTGATTCTTGTATGGAAGCATTTTTAAGTCCAGTTTCAGCATCTTCTGAAGTGATATTCTGGCAATGCCTACTTGAGCAGAGCAACAATGGTTAGAAGCTGATGGATCCTCAAAGACATTCTGCCATACAGCTTCCACTGGTATGTCTGTGTGCACAGTGCGCTTAGGACCTTTTCCCAGAATATCACGGATTAATCCAGTTCTTTCAATCCATATGATTAGGTTCAGAATCAACGCTAGGAGATAATGACATTAAAATGTTGCCGGTATTTCCTCTGAGTTTAAATAATTTATCTTTCATTTGAATAGAAAAACTCAATGCGTTTCCTCATTGCTGGACATCATGCATAGCCATTTTAATCTCCAAAGGATGCTCTCTGTAACTTGCAAAAAGAGAAAATTAAAAATATTGAAAACGAAAAAAGTTATGACTTTCAAGCCCTTCAGTTTTTTTAGTTGCTACCCTAAAAATAAATAACATTTCGAAAGTTTAAAGTGATATTTTGATATTTTTGTTGGACATATGATATTGAAATATAAATGAACTTCTTTGTTCTCGTACTTCATCAACATTCACACAAAAACTATCATCAGTCATTTAATGTGTAGACTTTGTGATGCCCAAAACTAATGCAAGCTTAATGAATAAATATTATTGCCTAAACATATTTAATATTCCTGTTATGTTTTAAATATCTCTCTGCATGATAGTAGTCATAGTACAGTTCTCCATGTTCTAAATAGCAACCAGGTTTGCTTGGTATAGCTGTCCCATATGTTCTCCCAGTTGTTCTCTATTTATATTTGTCTATCTGATTTGCATGCGATACTACAATACTAAAAATCAAAACCCACCAAATTATATAAAAAATAATTTATTCCATAAATGTATTTTATATTTACAAACAAAAAAAAGTCACTTTGTTTGATTCCTGGAAGCATTGAACACCTCCCCCCCCAACTTTTTTTTTTTTTCACTATTGATGTGTGTAATATATATAATGTATGCATAATTTCCTGTTTCTTACTTTTTATAGATACAAATGTTTAAATAAATGCTCTGTTTGTAATAAACAATATTAATACTTACCGGCCTGAATGTCTGAGAAATGCCATAGAAAATGTGTCCCCTGACAGGAATCTAACTTGTATTCTACACAAACCATCATATAGCCTGACATGTTATACCATTTAGCTACGGAGGAAGCATTGGGTTAGCAAAGACAAATTACTGTGAACATTTGGAAGAAATCCTGGGTGATTTGTAGTTTAAATACAGTAATTCGAACTTACTAACCAGACACTTCCTCTCTAGCTAAATGGTATAGTGTGGTAAGCTATGTTATGGTTCTGTGTAGAATATAGGTTCAATTTCTATCAGAGAACACATTTTCTATTAAATTTCTGGAACATTCAGGCCGGTTATTATAAACAGAACATTTACTTAAATATTTGTATCTATTAAAAAAAAAAAATGTATAAACAGTGTGTGTGTGTGTATATATATATATATATATATATATATATATATATATATATATATATATATATATATATATATATATATATATAAAATCTTAATTTTCATGGGAATTCTGTGTTAACATACATATGTTATTTACACTATTTACATTCAGAGGTTTTTGGTAGTGTTGCCTCTGCCCTTCATCAGGTGTATATCGATCCAGATAACCTACAGGGAATTCCAAACTGAACTGTCTATTTAATCTACGAGGTTAGACTGTTCATGTGCCACTGCCCATGTCTAGAGATATCTTGTCTAGTTCTTATTTTTAGTATTGCTTAGTTATTACTCACCCTGTTTCTACCAAGTCCAAGTACACACTGCTTGAACCCAGGATTGAACTTACAATTACTGTGTCATCAAATTCCCGAACCAATGCTTTAATCCACTAGGCCATCCTTCTGCGAGATGAAGGCTGCAGGAAATGACAGCTGAAATGTGATAACAGCAAGAAGAAAAATGGGGACAATAGTCTGAATGTAAAAAGTTTAAATAACTCTTCATTCCAGAAATTCAGACATTGATATACATATTAATGCCACAAAAAAATAAATACATTTACTCAATGTAAACAGAATTAAAAAAAAAAAAAAAATTGAATCATCTTCACACTGCCCCGTTCTCTAAAATTTCAGATGAAGCTAAATAATGAAATGGGTAAAATTTATAAAAAATTTCTTATTCCTTATTTAATTCTGTTGGATTTAATACAGATTTTCCCATTTTGTCTCGTGGCTTGCAATCATCTAAAATTTATCTTCTGAGGTTCTTACAGCAAATTTGGTCATTCCTTATGTATGTTCCAAAGTCACTTTGGAATTCCTGAAAATTCAAGAAATCTGGATGACACTGTAACAAAATTTATTAAATTTCTAAATTTTCATTTGATAACAAGTAAAACTTGTATTTTTTTTCTTTCTTTCTTCCCAAAAATGGTGAAAAAAAAAAAACCTCCTAAGTTATATACATTCAGAGACTAAGCTGAAGAGGAAAAATATTTTTTCTTTTCTTATCTATTATTTGTTTTTTTTAGAAATGTATATAATTTTTTAATTTATCCCAAGTAAGGTGATAATGCCATTAACATGCAAGGCTACTGGAATCCCAATCTTAAACATGAAACAAGGGATAAACCTCTTCTCTTTCACAAAAGACCAGGGAGAAATGTGAACCTGTTGTTTTTCATGAAAGAAAACTTGCAATATTTAAAAAAAAAAAAAAAAAAAAAAAATTCTGTATTGAAAATGCT